TGGTTTTAATGGGGTTTAAAAATCTATCACTACACGAGGGGCATTAAGAGGGTTGGGTTTTTAAAGGGGTTTTAAAATCTATCTACTAAAACGAGGGTCATTTAAAACTGGTTGGTTGGTTAAAAAGGGGTTTTTAAAATCCCATCACTAAAACGAGGGTCATTAAGTGGTTGGTTGGTTAATGGGGGTTTAAAAAAAATTTTTTAAACTACTACACGAGGGTATTAAGAATGGTTGGTTGGTTAATGGGGTTTAAAATCTATCTCCCCCGAGGGTCATTAAGGGGTGGTTTTGGTTTGGGTTTAAAGGGGGTTTTAAAAAAATCCCATCTACTACACGAGGGTCCCTTAAGAGTGGTTGGTTTTTGGTTTTAAAGGGGTTTTAAAAAATCTTCCCACTACACGAGGGTCAATTTAAAATGGTTGGTTTTTGGGTTTAAAGGGGGGTTTTTTGTCTATCACTACACGAGGGTCATTAAAAATGGTTGGTTTTGGGTTTAAAGGGGTTTTTAAAAAACTATTTTAACTCACCGAGGGTCCCTTTAAAAGTGGTTTTGGGGGTTAATGGGGTTTAAATCTATCCCACTTAAAACAGGGTCATTAGGGTGGGTTTGGGTTTGGGTTTAAAGGGGTTTTTAAAAATCTATCTACTACCGAGGGTCATTAAGAGGTTGGTTGGTTAATGGGGTTTAAAAATCTACTCTAAAAACACGAGGGTCATTAAGTGTGGTTGGTTTTTTAATGGGGGTTAAAAATTTATCTACTAAAACGGGGTCATTAAAGAGTGGTTTTGGGTTGGTTAATGGGGTTTTTTAAAATCCCCAAACTACTACAAAGAGGGGGTTTATTAAGGTGGTTGGTTGGTTAAAGGGGTTTAAAGTTATCTAAATACCCCGAGGGGCATTTAAGGGCTGGTTGGTTGGTTAATGGGTTTAAAGTCTATCTATACAAAGAGGGTCAAATTTAAAATGTTGGGTTTGGTTTTAATGGGGTTTAAAGTCTAACCCACTACACGAGGGCATTAAGGTGGTTGGTTGGTTTTAAAGGGGTTTTAAAATTTTATCTTTCTACACGAGGGGTCTTAAATGGTTTTTTGGTTTTAAAGGGGGTTTAAAAAGGGCTAAAACTACTACACGAGGGTCATTAAGATGGTTTTTGGGGGTTAATGGGTTTAAAAATCTATCTACTACACGAGGGTATTAAGAGTGGGTTGGTTGGGGTTTAAAGGGGTTTTAAAAGGTTTCCCATCTAAAATACACCAAGGGTATTAAGAATGGTTGGTTGGTTAATTTGGGGGTTTTTTTAAATCTATTCCCACTACACGAGGGGCATTTTAAGGGGTGGTTTTGGGTTTTGGGTTTAAGGGGGGTTTAAAAAATCTATCTACAAAACACGAGGGTTTCCCTTAAGACCCCGGTTGGGTTGGGTTTTTTTTGGGGGTTTAAAAAAATCCTAAAAAACAAAATACACGAGGGTCTTTAAAATTTGGGTTTGGGTTTGGTTTAAAGGGGTTTAAAGTTATCTACTAAACGAAAGGGGCATTAAGATGGTTTTTTGGTTTAAAAAGGGGGTTTAAAAAAAATTTCTACTACACGAGGGTCATTAAAGGGGTGGTTGGGGTTGGGTTAATGGGGGTTTTTTGTCTATTAATACACAGGGTCATTAAGAGTGGTTTGGGTTTGGTTTTAATTTGGGGTTTTTTAAAAATTTTATTAAATTACACGAGGGTCATTAAGGGGTGGTTGGTTGGTTTTTTTTTGGGTTTAAAATCTATCTACTAAAACGAGGGTCATTAAGAGTGGTTGGTTTATGGGGTTTAAAGTTTTTAATTTTAATACCACGAGGGCCATTAAAGTGGTTGGGTTTGGGTTTAAAGGGGTTTAAAGTCCCCATCTATACCAACCCGAGGGTCATTAAGGGCTGGGGGTTTGGGTTTGGGTTTAAAGGGGTTTTTAAAATTCCCATCTACTCACGAAGGGGTCATTAAGATGGTTTGGGTTTGGGTTTTTTTGGGGTTTAAAAAATCTATCTACTACCCGAGGGTCATTTAAAAGTGGTTGGGTTTGGTTTTAAAAAGGGGGTTTAAAATCCTATCTACTAAAACGAGGGTCATTTAAAATGGTTGGTTTGGGTTTAAAGGGGTTTAAATCTATCTACTACACGAGGGTCATTTAAGGCTGGTTTTGGGTTTTTTTTAAAGGGGGGTTTAAAAATTTTAATTTACTTTCAAAGGGTCCAAAAAAAGACTGGTTTTTTTTTGGGTTAAAGGGGTTTTAAAGGGCTATCTACTACACGGGGTCATTTTTGACTTTTTAGGTTAATGGGTTTTAACACCACAAACAAGAATATTTAAAAATTTAAAAAAAATTTTTTTTAATGGGTTTTAAAACTTAAAAACCAGTGTATTTAAGAGGGGGGTTTTAATTTTAAAATTATTTTAAAAAGAGGGGATAAAACTGGTTGGTTTTTAATGGGTTTTAAACCACCCCAGGGTAATTTTAAAAGAGGGTTGGTTTTTAATTGGGGGTTTAAACTAAAATTTAAAAAACCAGGGATATAATTTGTTTTAATGGGGTTTTTAAAAATTTAATCCAAAGGGGAAAAAGGTGTTTGGGGAATGGGGAAATTTAAAAGGGGAAAGAGTGGGGGGAAGGGAAAGAAAAAAAGAAGGGATTAAAATTTTTGGGTTTTTGGGGTTAAAAAAGGGAAAAAGGGAAAAAACAAACAAAACAAAAACAACAACAAACAAACAAAAAACAACAACAAACAAACAAAAACAAAAAAACCAACAAAAACTACAAAAACAAAACAAAAAACCAACAACAAAATTTAAACAAAAAACAACAAAATACAACCAATCAAAACCAACCCCAAAAACCCAACCCCAAAATACAAAAACCAAAAACCAAAAAAACACCAAAACAAAAAACCAAAAACCCAAAAACAAAAAACAAAAACCCCAAAAATACAACAGAAAACAAACCCTTTAAAAACAAATAAAAACACCCAACAACAACAACAACACAACAACACAACAACAACAACAACAACAACAACAACAAACAAAACAAAAAAACAACAACAACAAACAACAAACAACAACAACAAACAACAACAACAAACAACAACACACAACAACAAAACAAACAAACCAACAAACAACAACAACCAAAACAACCAAAACACAACAAAACAACAACAACAACACCACAAACAACAAACAACAACAACACCACAACAACAACAACAACAACCACAACAACAACCCAAAAACAACCACCACAAACAACAACAACCAACACAACAAACAAACAACAACAAACAACACCACAACAAACAAACACACAACCAAAAACAACAACAACAAAACCACAACAAACAATTACAACACCACAACCAAAAACAACAACAACAAACAACCACACAACAATTACAACCCCAACACCACAACAACAACAACAAACAACACAACAAACACACAATTACAAACCACCCCACAACAAACAACAAAAACCCAACACAACAACAACCAACAAACAATTACAACCACCACAACAACAACAACAACCACCACAACAATAACAACAACCACCACCACAACAACAACAAACCACAAAACAACAATTACAACCACCACCACAACAACAACAACACCACCACAACAACAACAACAACCACCACCACAACAACAACAACAACCACAACAACAACAACAACACAACACAAACAATTACAACCACCACAACAACAACAATTAACAACACCCCAGAAAGCAACATTGACAGTCACGTTAACACAACGGTCATAACGCTCACGTTAACACAACGGTCATAACGCTCACGTTAACACAACGGTCATAACGCTCACGTTAACACAACGGTCATAACGCTCACGTTAACACAACGGTCATAACGCTCACGTTAACACACGGTCATAACGCTCACGTTAACACAAACCGTCATAACGCTCACGTTAACACAAAACCGTCATAACGCTCACGTTAACACAACCGTCATAACGCTCACGTTAACACAACGGTCATAACGCTCATCGTTAACACAACGGTCATAACGCTCTCACGTTAACACAACCGTCATAACGCTCACGTTAAACAAACCGTCATAACGCTCGTTAACACAACCGTCATAACGCTCACGTTAACACAACCGTCATAACGCTCACGTTAACACAACCGTCATAACGCTCACGTTAACACAACCGTCATAACGCTCACGTTAACACAACGGTCATAACGCTCAGGACTTCACCTCTACGTAGCTTTAGGCCGAAACGTTGAACGTCATAACGCTCAGGACTTCACCTCTACGTAGCTTTAGGCCGAAACGTTGAACTCAAACGATTGAACTTATCAAGCGATTAAACAATTACCGAGACATTTCGCCTGTAGACAAGCACCTGCAACGTGTAACTGCCTCTTCATCCCCTGGGCGAAACCTCCCTAGTTCCTGCTACGTCCTCTAGCCCCCAGGGGAAGATCTAACATCACTTACCACCCCCATTACGTCTGACCTTGAAGCGAGGTTCTCAATCCCCTGAGATATCTCTCTTTCTGCAGATCCCAGCAGATCCCTACCCATCACCTATGAGTATACACCTCTGTATACCTTTCTGTATGGTGTGTATGCTGTCTATGACTGCTTAAACCTCGCTGTATGGTGTATATGGCTGTGTATGACGCGTGTCTTGAGGGTCAAGAAAGAATGCTGTAAGATACTCTCCTTGGGGAAGCACGTATAGATTTTTTTCTATTTTGTGTAGATTTAAAGGCATACATAGGCTTATTTCTCAATGTGGGGAAGATGGATTCTTGCCTGGGGTGACTTGAGGTTCAAAATGAGAGTTAAAGTCGAAACAGGAGGGATTTAATGGGGTAAAGATGGGTTGCATGGGGGGTGGATGGATGCAACGCGTTTGGCAGTGGTGTTGGTGCTGGGTGTTGAGTGCTGGGAAGCGCGTGCATCATAGCAGTCAGCACGTGAACGCGCGTGCGTGCAGTGCCTAGTAAACTCCATCTCCCTGAACAGAGAAATTGTTCACATCTCCACTGGCGACAGCAACAACTGGAACAATCTCAGTGTTACCTCAAATACTTCCGTATCCCCCTTAAAGATTCCTTCATCCTATGTCGACTGTTTACGAACGCATTCGTGTGGTTAAATCGGCTACTATTCAGTGAACGAACGAGACCGCTTCAAACACAAGACTATTCTGAATTCTTCACGAAGATTCGTAAGAGAAGTTCAGGTAAGCACGAAATTTTGTCACGAATTTCTTAGAATATTTTTTAATATTACGAAGGCTGGAGGCAGTGGAGATGTCATGTCTGAGGGCAATGTGTGGTGTGAATATAATGCAGAGAATTCGTAGTTTGGAAGTTAGGAGGAGGTGCGGGATTACCAAAACTGTTGTCCAGAGGGCTGAGGAAGGGTTGTTGAGGTGGTTCGGACATGTAGAGAGAATGGAGCGAAACAGAATGACTTCAAGAGTGTATCAGTCTGTAGTGGAAGGAAGGCGGGGTAGGGGTCGGCCTAGGAAGGGTTGGAGGGAGGGGGTAAAGGAGGTTTTGTGTGCGAGGGGCTTGGACTTCCAGCAGGCATGCTTGAGCGTGTTTGATAGGAGTGAATGGAGACAAATGGTTTTTAATACTTGACGTGCTGTTGGAGTGTGAGCAAAGTAACATTTATGAAGGGATTCAGGGAAACCGGCAGGCCGGACTTGAGTCCTGGAGATGGGAAGTACAGTGCCTGCACTCTGAAGGAGGGGTGTTAATGTTGCAGTTTAAAAACTGTAGTGTAAAGCACCCTTCTGGCAAGACAGTGATGGAGTGAATGATGGTGAAAGTTTTTCTTTTTCGGGCCACCCTGCCTTGGTGGGAATCGGCCGGTGTGATAATAAAAAAAATAAAAAAAAATGTGTATATCTCAGTGTATATACACTGAGATGTGTATATCTCAGTGTATATACACTGAGAGGTGTATATCTCAGTGTATATACACTGAGATGTGTATATCTCAGTGTATATTACACTGAGAGTTGTATATCTCAGTGTATATTACACTGGAGATGTGTATATCTCAGTGTATATACACTGAGAGTTGTATATCTCAGTGTATATACACTGAGATGTGTATATCTCAGTGTATATACACTGAGAGTTGTATATCTCAGTGTATATACACTGAGAGGTGTATATCTCAGTGTATATACACTGGCAGGTGTATATCTCAGTGTATATTCACTGAGAGGTGTATATCTCAGTGTGTATATACACTGAGAGGTGTATATCTCAGTGTATATACACTGAGAGGTGTATATCTCAGTGTATATACACTGAGAGGTGTATATCTCAGTGTATATACACTGAGAGGTGTATATCTCAGTGTATATACACTGGTAGTTTACATTAATCAGTATTTTAGGTATTAAAGTATTCTTGACTGGTGGTGTACAGGTGACCTGCAGCCTTAATGACCCTCGTGTAGTAGATAGACTTTAAACCCCATTAACCAACCAACCAGCCTTAATGACCCTCGTGTAGTAGATAGACTTTAAACCCCATTAACTAACCAACCAGTCTTAATGACCCTCGTGTAGTAGATAGACTTTAAACCCCATTAACCAACCAACCAGTCTTAATGACCCTGGGTAGTAGATAGACTTTTAAACCCCATTAACCAACCAACCAGTCTTAATGACCCTCGTGTAGTAGATAGACTTTAAACCCCATTAACCAACCAACTTGTCCTAATGACCCTCGTGTAGTAGATAGACTTTAAACTCCATTAACCAACCAACAAGTCTTAATGACCCTCGTGTAGTAAACTTTAAATCCCATTAACAAACTAACTTTTCAGGTTTAACATGTCCCCAAATAATAATAATAATAATAATAATAATAATAATAATAATAATAATAATAATAATAATAATAATAATAATAATAATAATACAAAATTCCTATTTTTAATATATGTTCAACATTATCCCTTATATTATTTATCTTTGAAAAATTTGGATTTTAATCATAATTATAATAATCATATCAATTTCAATCATAATACATAATTAAAATGATCTCATTGCTATAATCATATAATTATTATAGAGAATAAATGATATTATAATTTTCGTGGTTAGGTAAGGTCTGTCAGGAAACAGGGTCTTAGATGATGCCCCACAGCTGGAGCTTTTGGTCATCTGACCGAGGCCTTCCGCTGGCTTACCCCTCTCCTTTAAATATTGTGGCTAAGGTTATAACCAGCTAGTTTCTGATATGTTAGGAGGTAAGTTGGTGGTGACTAGTGACTTCGATGCGAGTGTAAGTAGTGATCTTATGGGAATTTGGCATATGTTGCATAAAACACCTGTGTAACATCTGGGTATCTTTAGGGAGAGACACCCAGGTGTTGCACGTGTGTCTAAGGCATCTTCAGGCAACACCTGGGTGTCTCAGGTGTTGCACATGAGAGAAATAGTGGTGATGGGAGACTTCGATGCGAGTGTAAGTAGTGATCTCATGGGAATTTGGCATATGTTGCATAAAACACCTGTGTAACATCTGGGTATCTTTAGGGAGAGACACGCAGGTGTTGCACGTGTGTCTAAGGCATCTTCAGGCAACACCTGGGTGTCTCAGGTGTTACACATGAGAGAAATAGTGGTGATGGGAGACTTCGATGCGAGTGTAAGTAGTGATCTCATGGGAATTTGGCATATGTTGCATAAAACACCTGTGTAACATCTGGGTATCTTTAGGGAGAGACACCCAGGTGTTGCACGTGTGTCTAAGGCATCTTCAGGCAACACCTGGGTGTCTCAGGTGTTACACATGAGAGAAATAGTGGTGATGGGAGACTTCGATGCGAGTGTAAGTAGTGATCTTATGGGAATTTGGTACATGTTGCATAAAACACCTGTGTAACATCTCGGTATCTCTAGGAAGAGAGACCCAGGTGTTGCACGTGTGTCTAAGGCATCTTCAGGCAACACCTGAGTGCCTCAGGTGTTACACATGAGGAAAATAGGTGGTGACAGGAGACTTTGATGCGAGTGTAAGTAGTGATCTTATGGGAAATTGGTACATGTTGCATAAAACACCTGTGTAACATCTGGGTATCTCTAGGAAGAGAGACCCAGGTGTCACACGTGTGTCTAAGGCATCTTCAGGCAACACCTGGGTGCCTCAGGTGTTACACATGTCTAAGGCATCCAAAACAAGACGTGTGCAACAGTGCCTCAACCTGGAGTCGACTCGAGGCTGAAGGACTGATTACCTCACACTCCTCTTTTCCACCGTTCTTCTCTGTATTGGACTGATGAAGCTACTGGCTGGCGAAAAGTTTCTTCAGTAAATGTTCCCAAATGTATCACAAGTTACTTATTCTTCAACAAAGAGAAGATGAGCTGCACACACCTCCAATTTCTATATCGATGTTACGTTTCGCTTATACAATAGGCTTCCTCAGTCAAATACAGAGGCAACACGTGCAGTAGTGAAATAGATATATAATCAGTCCATCAACCTTAGAGAAAGTATTTGAGGTGGTCAGTCCCTCAGCCTGGAGAAGAGTTCAGCTTCATGGTCTGGAACAAGGTGGTCAGTCCCTCAGCCTGGAGAAGAGTTCAGCTCCATGGTCTGGAACAAGATGGTCAGTCCCTCAGCCTGGAGAAGAGTTCACCTTCATGGTCTGGAACAAGGTGGTCAGCCCCTCAGCCTGGAGAAGAGTTCAGCTTCATGGTCTGGAACAAGATGGTCAGTCCCACAGCCTGGAGAAGAGTTCAGCTTCATGGTCTGGAACAAGGTGGTCAGTCCCTCAGCCTGGAGAAGAGTTCAGCTCCATGGTCTGGAACAAGGTGGTCAGTCCCACAGCCTGGAGAAGAGTTCAGCTCCATGATCTGGAACAAGGTGGTCAGTCCCTCAGCCTGGAGAAGAGTTCAGCTCCATGGTCTGGAACAAGATGGTCAGTCCCTCAGCCTGGAGAAGAGTCCAGCTTCAAGGTCTGGAACAAGGTGGTCAGTCCCTCAGCCTGGAGAAGAGTCCAGCTCCATGGTCTGGAACAAAGTGGTCAGTCCCTCAGCCTGGAGAAGAGTCCAGCTCCATGGTCTGGAACAAGGTGGTCAGCCCCTCAGCCTGGAGAAGAGTTCAGCTCCATGGTCTGGAACAAAGTGGTCAGTCCCTCAGCCTGGAGAAGAGTCCAGCTCCATGGTCTGGAACAAAGTGATCAGTCCCTCAGCCTGGAGAAGAGTCCAGCTCCATGATCTGGAACAAGGTGGTCAGTCCCTCAGCCTGGAGAAGAGTCCAGCTCCATGATCTGGAACAAAGTGATCAGCCCCTCAGCCTGGAGAAGAGTCCAGCTCCATGGTCTGGAACAAAGTGATCAGTCCCTCAGCCTGGAGAAGAGTCCAGCTCCATGATCTGGAACAAGGTGGTCAGTCCCTCAGCCTGGAGAAGAGTCCAGCTCCATGGTCTGGAACAAAGTGGTCAGTCCCTCAGCCTGGAGAAGAGTCCAGCTCCTTGGTCTGGAACAAAGTGATCAGTCCCTCAGCCTGGAGAAGAGTCCAGCTCCATGGTCTGGAACAAAGTGATCAGTCCCTCAGCCTGGAGAAGAGTCCAGCTCCATGGTCTGGAACAAAGTGATCAGCCCCTCGGCCAGGAGAAGAGTCCAGCTCCATGGTCTGGAACAAAGTGATCAGTCCCTCAGCCTGGAGAAGAGTTCAGCTCCATGGTCTGGAACAAAGTGATCAGCCCCTCAGCCTGGAGAAGATTCCAGCTCCATGGTCTGGAACAAAGTGATCAGCCCCTCGGCCAGGAGAAGAGTCCAGCTCCATGATCTGGAACAAAGTGATCAGTCCCTCAGCCTGGAGAAGAGTCCAGCTCCATGATCTGGAACAAGGTGGTCAGTCCCTCAGCCTGGAGAAGAGTTCAGCTCCATGGTCTGGAACAAAGTGATCAGTCCCTCAGCCTGGAGAAGAGTCCAGCTCCATGATCTGGAACAATATAAATTCCAAACTATTGGACATATTTCTTTATCTTACAAATGTCGATATTTTATACCATATTCTTATATTCATGTCTTACTAGGTGTTATTCACCTTTGTTAGAATGTTACAGGAGCAGCGATCTTGACTTCCCTCTATATTCTCATTTCTGTCCACTTATTGAAAAATATGGTTCAACATTTACCCCGGTAACATGAACGAAAATAGAAAAACCTGTGAACAGACTGAACATCGGTGACGTTTCA